ATGAACGTAGGAGGGCTGCTGAGGTGGTGATTCAGCTCGTCCAACAGCAAGCCTTTCCTCAAGAGCTAAAGGCGCTGCAAGGGAGCACTCATGGGAAGACAATTCCAAAATCCAGTCCTCTTCTTTGTCTCGACCCCTTTCTGGATGGGGGACTTCTTCGTGTTGGCGGAAGACTTAAGGGATCATCCCTCAGTCAAGAACTAAAGCACCCCATCATTCTCCCAAAGGACAGTCACATCACCAAGCTTATCCTGTCACACTACCATGCCCAGATCTGCCACCAGGGTCGGAGCCAGACCTTAATGGAACTCAGGTCAAATGGATTTTGGGCTATTGGTGGGAGTAAACTAGTCGCCAGGTTAATACATAGATGTGTGAAATGTCGGAAGCTCAGACGACCAGTTGAGGAGCAACGAATGTCTGAACTCCCCAGAGAACGCTGTGAAGTCTCAGCTCCCTTCTTGTTCTGCGGTATGGATTGCTTCGGCCCATTTATCACCAAGCGAGGTCGCAAAGAGTGCAAAAGATATGGACTCATCTTCACTTGCCTGTCCTCTCGAGCAGTCCATCTTGAAATGCTTGAGGACATGTCCACGGACGCCTTCATTAACGCTTTAAGGTGTTTTATTAGCCTTAGAGGAGCTGTTTGCCAACTCCGCTGTGACCAGGGCACAAACTTTGTGGGGGCGAAGAATGAGTTCAAGGAAGCCCTCAAGCAATGTGACACAGAGGCACTGGAAGCCTTTCTGTCGGATAAACAGTGTGAGTTCATTCTCAATGCGCCTTCAGCGAGTCACACAGGCGGTGTGTGGGAGCGACAAATTCGGACCATCCGCAATGTGCTGAATGTTACGATCGCTCAGTGTCCTGGTAGACTAGATGATGCCTCCCTTAGAACGCTGTTCTATGAAGCTATGGCCATTGTAAACAGTCGCCCATTAAATGTTGAAGGAATCAATGATCCTATGGCACCAGAGCCCTTGACTCCAAACCACCTGATCCTGATGAAAGCTAAAGTCGCCTTGCCACCTCCCGGAAAGTTCGTAAAGGAAGATATGTACGCCGCAAAAGATGGCGCAGAGTACAATATTTAACTGAACAGTTCTGGAGCCGGTGGAAGAAGGAATACCTCCTGAATATATCCATTAGGCAAAAGTGGCATGTACGGCGACGCAACTTGAAAGTGGACGACATAGTCATCATAAAGGAAGATACACTCCCCAGGAATCAGTGGCAACTAGGGCGAGTGGTTGAAACTACAGAAGGGTCAGATGGCTTAGTTCGTCGGGTAAAGGTACAAATTGGGGAGCGGAAAGTAACACAGAAACAGAACCCCCGATGTAAGCCCTCAATCATTGAAAGGCCCATCCAAAAGCTGGTGCTCCTCCTTGAAAACAATTAACAGTCTGTAGTACACTCAAGTACACTTACATCAGACATGTTGGTTTATTGATTTTATTCAAGGTCTCCCTATTTTGTTCTGTAGCTCCATGCTTAGGCAGTTATAGAACTCTAGAAATCATGTATGAGTAACTGTTTTGTTTTCCATGCTGAGTTCATTTATCATAACATGATTTGGTGGGAGTGTAAGTGGCCACTGGAGGCCGCTAGAGGTAGTATATTCTTAGTGAGGTAATTCATGTGACTGGGTTGGAGGCTGTGCACCCAGGAACCTGTATAACTAATAATTCGATTTGCACTTGCCTGACTTCTCTCATCTCCGAAGATCAGGGACATGTAAGTTGACTCTTAAACTGTGTAAATTGTGAAATCCTGGTGCTCTTCACTTTACAATATTAAGTAGTTCATGTATTTCCATTTTCATGCGTTTTTGGTGAAGTTTGCTTTGTCTTATTTCCACACATGTGTGTGCTGTTTTAGTTCAGAGACCTTCAAGCTAGCGGCTAATTCCGAAAAGCAGCAAATCTAAAATTTGCACCCTTGGTGAGCGGAGTAAGGTGTGTATCATTTGGCTCTATGTATAATAGGACTTCAAGGATGTAAAATGTCAAATTTTGACTGTTATTGGAAATTATTTTGTTGTTTATCTTGTACCATGAAAGTGTATATGTTAAAGGAGACAATTATTGTCTTTAGTTGTTATTTAAATAACTTCAAAGGTCACTTGATTTGTATTGTACATGTACAAAAATGCATCTTGATATACTGTAAATGAGGTGAGGATTTTGTTTGCGAATTTGTGTCTAAAGGTTCATTAATCAGCTATTTGTGTTTACTTATAGTTTTCACGGTGCTCACGCTGATTTGGACGAATAAAAATTACTGCACCCGTTTGAGACTCTCTGCCATTTATTAAGGAGCCAAGGGCTGCAACAAGCAATGATTTCTTCATATATTCAGGTTGATCATTTTGAACACTTTTTTTTTGACAAATTAGAAAATTTGGCCGATATATTAAAGCCAATAATTAATTATTTCCAGCTGAGAGACTTTTGATGTGCACTGTTCTCCATGATGTTTTTGAATGGCTTGAAATATAATTGGAGATGAAAACAAGTGCAGCACAAATCTGTTATGTAGGCTGTAGGCTACAACAAGATCATTATAATTGTGTGCTTGGGACATAACTTTTATGATGAGACTTTTGTTTTTGTTATCAGGCATTCAAAAATTATGTAACATTTGGATTTAGATTTTTCTACGTTTCGGTTATCGGTTTTTAAATACCAAAATAATTCAAATATTTCAAATAATTATCGGTTATCGGTATTAGCCAAATTTTCATGTTGGTGCATCCCTCTGTTTCATCCATTTTACTTTAAAACATCAATTAATCATTTTACAATAGATTTTATTTACACACAATATCTTCCATAGTTCTTCCCTATTGTGATGTACATCCGATGTACAAAATGCTTCTGAAAAAATTAAGGGCATCAGGACTTAATTTGGTCCGTCGGGAATTCATTGGAATGTTGTGGTTTGCTATTACTGAGATCCCTTGTGACCTTGACCTTGTCCAGCGGTGGTTGTGCCAAATACTTAGGTCATCACTTATGATTATGAGAACATATGAATTAAAATAATAATAATGATTTGGCCAGATAAACCACTTATAATATTATTTCAAAAAATAGCAATTGTCAATTTTGCTTTCATGGTGATTTTAATGTCGTATAAAATAAAAAAAGAATCTAACCTGAATCCAGGGCCCATCCTTCAACAAATCCTTCATAACTTCATAATGTGCCAACACTGTAGCTCCACAAGGCAAGACAATGCAGACAATAAAAGATCATAGATAATATACACAAGTAAATTCCTTGATAGATTCCAGATCTACATTGAACATGTACTGAATAAAAAATGACCTTCTCAGAAAAAAATAAAGGACAAGACCATTTATAACAGTGGATCAATTTCAGCAATACATAATTTTCTGTTTTTGCTTACTCTTTTAATGCATCTTTAATTTGACATCTCTTCAATTTTAATAATATCTGATGTTCCTAAGAGGACAAGATTTCTTGCATCCCTAAATGCAAATTCAGTAATTATCCAGATCTGCTTTTTATGAAATCACAGGGGGGAGCATCAAGAATGCTGACAGAGCAAATCTGCCTGATTTGCTGAATTGAGTAAATTGCTGATAAATTAAAAGGCTTTAGTCTACTGTTTAGTGTTTACAATGTTGCTGTACAATTGTTAAGAGTCACGACAGACAACATTTATTTACCATGCTATGCTAGTAGGCCTAACAAATGATTAATTCTCTATTTTATTAGAGTACAGATAGAAATAATATATACGATATTGTATGCTTAAGAATAATATCAACCACAAAAGCTCTAAAATGTGCTGTAGATGAGAGGACGGTAGCAGAGATAAGTAATTAGGCTGAATCTGGACCGGTTCCGGCATGAAGATAAATGCTGAGAAAGACAACTTGGAAGGAGCAAAAGAGATGCATCTGTTTACTAAGCTGCAGACAGATTTAAGGCCTTGAGGAGTGTAGAGAAGATTTGTATACATATATGTTTAATCTCCAAATGGGACTGGTTGCCCTTCCTGTAAAATGTGATTGAAAAAAAAAACAAAAACATTTGTCCATTTTGTAATAGATCTTTATTTGATCTTTATTTTTAATAGTATAGTATTAGGGACATCATTCTGGAACTGTTTTTATTTTCTGGTGTCCATCTTGCATGATAACAGTTCCACACAGTGAGACATGGACCTGACTTCTCTCAACCAATATGATTAGTTTTCTCTGTATAATTTTAAACTGGTTAAATTGTGTTTTTACACAATAGAGTTGAATGAAACATACAAAATCAGTCAATAGAGTTGAATGAAACCAATTCTTAAATGCATCCACCATCATTTTCAAAGAGTTAAGGATGTAAGACCATCAAAATATGATGCAGTAATGTGTTAGTTATGTGATTATTTTATGTTTGTACATCCAGTCCAGTGTAAATGTGCTTCACCACAGGCACAGGCTTCTGCTTTTCTATTAAAATAACACATTTATGGAAGTTATATGGGCTGTTTGTTTTGCAGCATTTCACTTTAAAGTCAATTCAAACTTGTAATAGTCTGTTATACTTCCCAAGTGCATGAGACCTGAATGGCAATATATTTAATACTTTTCTGTATCATCGGCTGTATCATCTATTACCAGGGTTTCAACCAGGGAAAGATCTGCAGGGGGTCCTCATATGATCACAAACGAATATGAATAAACAATAATTAGACCAGAAAAGAACAAATGTGATCAGACTTTATAGCTTTTTATATAGGAGGTCTGAAAGTGCGGGTGTGTAAAAGTTGAAAATATGCTTTCATTTATTTTAAAGGTCTATATTCTGATACATAAACGCATAAAAAGTCTGGATGCATTGCTGACGATAGATTGTTGACATTTCTGGCCTGTTGACAACAAATCTGGAGTAATGACGCATTTACACCAGCAGATGTCGCCATTCTCCACACGCTTTCACGTTGTCCGGAAGACAGATGTAAATATTTTCATGACGTAAAGACGAGAGACAATCTAACAGTGCCCATCCTCTACTGTCGTACACCTCTAGAAATAGTCCGTTCCTCCGTGAATAATCTATTCATCGAAACAGCCTTCGTCCTGCCTGTCAGAGAACCATGCGAGGTTGTCGCTGACAGCATTCTGTCTTTATTTATATTTATTTAAAAGCAAACCGCGATTGCTAGGGTGTGATAGGCTATTCATAGCTTATGCATCATTGCTCTGAAGGCGAGTTGGTGTAGTCTGCGGATCAGGTTGCTCCTGTTAGAATTTTTCTTTTCTTTGCCAAGAAGCCAGCTATCAGGATTCATCATGCAAAAAAGGAGGAAGCCAGAACCAATTCAGCTGAACCCAATTCCAGATGGGAACGCTGTAAACGGAACCGGGGCCACAGAGTGAGTGGGCTTCTACGGTGTCATTTCATGGCGAATACGTTCACTTTAAGTTGCTTCATTCATGGATTTGACTCCAACGCGATTTTATAGATTTGCCATTGCTTAATATGATTTATTGGGTATTAAATTGTGGATATTTTTGAGGGTGTGTTGGTGTTTGTTTGAACGAAAGCCCACGAATGAATTGTATTAGTTGACTTGCATACTACCAAATAGGGGTGTAACAATATATCGTGCCATAATACAAAAATGCAACAATACGTATTGTGGAAAGTGGCAATATGTATCGTGGATAGAATAGTTTCCCCAAAACCAAAATTACTCTGTGAGAAAAAATTCAAGTTTGCAGAGTTTTAGTATCAGTACTACATTAAACTACTAAGTTAGCCTATATAATGTTTATTATATATATCTAGTCTATTCGCATATTCGTCTAATATTATTCTGTATTTTCAGCTTCAGAATCATGAATATTGTTATTCTGGTTTCACCATTGTCCTTGGGTTACAAGCACCAAGTCCAAGGATATTCATTTAAACCCACAATGTAATAGGCTATCAAATTTAGCATTTTAATCAACAGTACATTTTTTTTAACCTGGCTTTTAGCATATGTCTGGAGTATCGCAATAATATCGTATCGTGATTTGTATCGAATCGTGACACAAGGGTATCGTTACACCCCTACTACCAAATATGGGTCATTTTGCAATATGGATGACTTTTTAAACATTCAATCAGATAATGTCAAATCAAGTCACATTGCTTTATACAAGAATGTTTAAAGCAGCTTCAAAGTAATAAAAATGAAAATGACGTTCAACTAAATCAAATGTGCTTTGCAGAAAACAACAGTACAGCTTAAGTCAGGTCAGTATTGATTCAGTTCAGTTTAAAAAATGTGCAAAGTTTATTAAGTATAAAATGACTACATAAGACAATATATCATTATTCAGCTCAATTCAGTTCAATTCGTCAATCAAGAAAGTTGAATCAGCTGAAGCAGCTCTGCAAAAACTGTTGTCGTCATCAGTGACGTGTTAGGGCTGTCAAATTGACAATATTACTCAATATTAAGTCTTTAATGTTAATAAATTGCATTGTGCCATCTCAAGCTAATTTCATAGATTGTAATATAGCTATGAGGCTTATAATAGGTTTGAGGATACTATGGTAGACGGTTGTTGTCATTATTTATTAACAAATAAATGCAGCCTTGTGCATAAGAGACATCCTTTGAACCCAGTATAGAATTATTGAATGTTGTTGTTTTAAGCATATTTCTTAGTTTATGTATTGTAAGATATATTAATGAGGAACACACTGTTTGAGGAATTGCCCATATATTAGTGTTGTTTAGTATCCACCAAGTGAACATAAAAGGTGCGCATCTCCTGCCACTAAGATCAATGAGAATACCTTATCACATTTGGACAGAGCAGTCCTCTGTATATATTGTTCAGCCATAAATTAGTGTAGAGGCCAAAAATCCAGGCAGTGTTTGTTGATCCTAGATGGATATGTAAATGAATGTCACAGCATTCTCTGAGCCCAAGTATCCACCAGTTTACCTCAGTAAGTAATTACGGAGGATTTTTAAGCTGACCATCATAGATACAAGTGATGGCGTATTGATTTGTTTGCCTGCTTCACATCCCCACAGACAGATATGGTGACAGTGAGGATCACCTCGGTCAGTGCTATACCTTCGTTTGGCAGACCTGTGATTTTTGTTCTTTTGATGTCGAGCCAATGGCAATCCTCACAGCCTGAGCCACTGGTGCATGTCATTGCCTCTTGTTTCATCGGGCTCATTTGAGGGCTCAGAGACTTTCCCCTCTTGTAGTCTCTCCATTTGGCATTAAGAGACTATTAATTATTTAAGGATAAAGTTTCAGTATAGTGTATAGAAAATGGTTATTATTTCTACATAAAGAAGAAGTATTAGCTGTGCTAGAATAGTGCTACATTGTGATGTTTGTGAGAATGACGGTAAAGTAAAATTACATTCCTTCCTGAAGAGCAGGACAGGCTGTGTCAAGATCCCTTTGGAATGTGTGTGTGTGTGTGTGGTGGTGATTCAATCCTGGAAGTCAGTGTTATAGAGAGAGGCTTGGAATGTTAAATACTGTGACAACACTTTTTGTCGTGGAAAGCCTCAAACATCTCAACGAGTGCAGTTATGTTATTTTCTAAGTTCTTTCTTATCGCTTGAGAAGAACTTTATATGCATCACCTCTCTAACGGATTTTCTAATTATGTAAATTTGCTGTTAAGATAATATTTATGATGACTGGTAAATCAATTTACTCCTCATTGGAGCCAGTTACAATTGCATTCTTACTGCTATTAAACAAAGCTTTTAATTTTTTTCGTTTTTTTGTGTTTTGGTGACTTAAAGGAGTGGTTTAAGTCACCAAAAACTTTTTCTGATAATTTACTCACCCCCATATCATCCAAGATGTCCATGACTTTCTTTCTTCAGTCGAAAAGAAATTAAGGTTTTTGATGAAAACATTCCAGGATTTTTCTCCATATAATGGACTTCAATGGGAACCAAACGGTTCAAGGTCCAAAAGACAGTTTCAGTGCAAACTGCAAACTGTTCAAAGGGCTTTAAACAATTCCAGATGATGAATAAGGGTCTTATCAAGCGAAACAATCGCTCATTTAAAAAAAAAAAATAACGAAGTTTAAGTTTTATAAGCTCAAATGGTCGCCTTGCTTTGTACTGCGATGCACGTTCGTGACTCTCCTGTTCGAACTCGTTCATCATAATGAATGAGTCTTTTTCATTTGTTGAATGAACAAAATGACTGAAAAAGATTCGTTCATTTTGATGAATGAGTTCGAACAGGAGAGTCACAAATGTGCGTCACAAAACAGAGCAGGGCGACCATTTGAGCTTATAAAACTTAAACTTTGCTATTTATTTATTAAATGAGTGATCGTTTCGCTTGATAAGACCCTTATTCATCATCTGGAATCGTTTAAAGCCATTTGAACAGTTTGCAGTTTGTACTGAAACTGTCTTTTGGATCTTGAACCGTTTGGTTCCCATTGAAGTGCATTATATGGAGAAAAATCCTGGAATGTTTTCATCAAAAACCTTAATTTCTTTTCGATTGAAGAAAGAAAGACATGGACATCTTGGATGACATGGGAGTGAGTAAATTAATTATCAGCAAAAGTTTTTTCGAAAGTGAACTACTCCTTTAACACAACCAATATTCTACATTCAGATGTGTCACATATATATTACCGTTCAAAAGTTTGGGATATGTAAGTTTCGAAAGGAATCTCTTATGGTCACTGAGGCTGCATTTTATTTAATCAAAAATGCAGTATAAATTTAAAAGAACCGTTTTCTATTTTAATATTTTTGAAAGTATAATATATTCTTTTAAATTGTTATATTCTAATAGGCTGATTTGGTGCTCAAGTAACTTATAATCAAAACAGCTTAATGTTTTTGTGAAAAATGTAATATTAGACATTTTCTTTTTTGCATGTGTCATTCACTTTAGAAAAAAAGTGTCTGACTTGCAATATGTTGATGAGGTTTATTTCTATTTAAAAGGTTATTGTCCACATTACTAGAAACCTTGTTTTATTAATTTGCCAAAGCCAGTATTACTTTCATTTGGCACTTGCCAATGCTAATTTTGTATGCGGCCAGTTTTGTTTCATCTCTCACCATTGACAGCAGTACCTCTGTTGCTATATTGTTTCCCATGAGCTCTATGCTGCATTGTGTCTTTTCAAGATAATCAGTAGGAAACCACACAATGTAACAGTGTTACACAATCACACCACTCACACACCATGGCACCATCTGCTGCTCTCCATTTTACTTAAGAGCACGGCTGGGTGTATATGAATGCTTTAGTTTATCAAGAAGAGCTTGATTATTCCCATGCATTTCCTACCTGTTCCCTAATTCTCTTCTTATGTATGAGTTTAAATTGACGACAGCACAGATGTATCCAGAGGAATGATTTATGGAGCGTATAGTTAAATATTGACCACATCATCTCAGGTTTTGTGCGTAAAACAAATGGTTTGCTTCTGTCTAACCTCAGCTGATCCCGGCACTCCCTAGTGTTTACATTCACATTCCAAAGCACGACATGTGAAGTTGACCACTTATTTCCCGTGTTTGATCATAATGTATCCACACACACACCTTCAAAAACGCTGGAAAAAATGGAAGTGAAGTTATGATTCTTTCAAGTACTCTACAGAGGCTTTTCTGTGTTTGATCCTCAAAATCTTCATTTTTATGCAATTTTGTATCTTTTCTCAGAAATAATCTGCCCTTTTTGTGGTGTATCAAAGGGTAGACTAAATAATTCACTAGTAGGTTTGAATTATTTATTACATTAAAGGGATAGTTCACCCAAAAATTAAAATCCGTTTTTACGTAATTAATTACTCATCCTCATGTTTTTCCAAACCCATAAGACTTTTGTTCATTTTTGGAACACAAATGAAGATATTTTTAATGAAATTTGAGCATTTTGTCCCTCCATAGACAACTTAGTCAACTGACATTTTGACGCTTCAAAAAGTTCATAAAGAGACGAGATATATATATTAGAGCCCGACCAATAAAGGATTTTGAAGGCCGATACCGATACAAATATTTTGGGGTTTTAAAATCCGATATTCCGATATATCGGCCGATATTTTATTTATTTATTTAAACTGGACATGAGAGTCACAAATTTTGTCATGCTTATTTGAGTTAAGAGAACTGATGGGGATGTTCTTTTAATTGTTATGGTTCAAGCCTGTTTCGTCCGTTTTTATTTTATTTTTGAAATATATTCATTTATCGGCCATTATAACTGCCGATACCAATAGTTTGGAAAATGCCTAATATTGGACCGATAATATCGGTCTGGCTCTAATATATATATATATATATATATATATATATATGTATATATATAATATAATAATCCTTATGAATTGAGCGTTTTAGACATTATCACTTTCTGTTGAATTTAGGCTTTTATTCACATGTAAACATTTATCAACTCATCTGTAAGATTTTTTTCATGTTTAACCCTAAAACCATATTCTGGACAAATGTGGGCAAAATAGTTTTGATTTATTTAAAAAAAAATACTTCCCTTGATCTGAGTGATACAAGACTTGGCTACTTTTCCTAAGTTTGCCTCCTGAACAAACACATTTTTTTTTTACTCAATTCTACAATGTTAAGTGGGTGAAAAAAAACTCCTTAATCTTGTATTTGGGTCAAAAATGGGCACCCATAGAAATGAATGGGGAAAAAACTGTGACAGCAAAGTCACTATTTATTAACCAATTTTCAAATGATAAATAATTAATTTGTTATGCATTATACAGTATGTTGTCATTGTTTTCCAGAAATGATTCGTGTTGTTTTTATTATAATATAATAAATCAAGATAATTTTCAGATATCACTGAAAAATAAAAACCAAGCAAAAAAATAAAACAGTACATTTTTAACATGAAATGTGACAAAAAAAAATTAAATGTATCCTTTTTTTGTGGTGAGGCCAATTTTTACTGTGGCAAGTAAAAATTTCAACTACTGGATTGACTAGGCCAGCAGAAAAAATCTTGCCATGGAATCACTCTGGATGTGGAGTCCTTGTTCTACCTTCTACGTTAACACAAGTTTCACAAGTATTTTTCTCCACTCTGGCATCTTGTGCGTCCTTCACCATTATCACGTCTCCACCACAGCTCATCCACGCCACCCACTTACACCCACACAGCAGCCTCGTAACCATGGTTATAACTGGCCTTGCTGTCAAAAATGAAAACACTTTGCCTCGTTCTGCATATAGATTAGATATAGACATCCTGGAGTACTTGCGCTGCTCTCATCCACCTGAGTCGTGCTGTCTGTCCTGGAGCAAAGCGTGTTGCAGTAGGTTGCGGACTGATCAGCACGGTTTGATGTAAATTTATGTGTGAGGGTCAATTATTGTGGCCTGAAACACTGTTCAACAGCAGGGCAACAAGTTTTCCATCTGAATCGGCTCAATGCTTAAAAGCCCTCGAGGCTCATAGCGTCCAACGTTCATTTGAAGATACAGCCGCATCACAGATGTTTGCAACGTGTGCAAACATCTGCATGAAAGGTTATGTTTAAATAATTCCTAATTGGTATCAACATCTGAATCATAAGACATTTAATTGGTTCATTTGAAAAATCCATGCAGTTGGACATGGTGAAGAACAGTGTTGTTGAAGGAGATGCGGAGAGGATGGAGAGCAGAGGGTCATGGAAGTTCACTCTTCCAGCAGAAAGCTAAGGAAATACATCACCATGACAACAGGGCCAAGGGAAAGGCTCGCATGCTTAGAGGAACTCACTGTTTCCTCAAACAGAACTTTAGGAAGAAGATGTTAGAAAGCCACTTTGTACAATACCGTACCTACTTTACTTTGCTATATTTCTATTAAATCCTAAGCTAATCATGACAAACTATATATCGTTGGAAAGGTCTAAGACTGCTTTTTTGCTACAAATGTAGAAAGAGTAACCAATGATTTTTTGACAAGAGTGCACCTCAAAAATTTCTGCATCATAACAGGAGTTCTGACCTTTATCACAAAACGTTGACGCACACACCTTTAATAATTAAAACTTTGGTTTTAATGCTAAAAGTTCATAATAAAATTATAAAATTAAAATTATAATATTATATTATCCTCTAAAAAATTGTAATATATATATATATATATTATCCTCTAAAATATAATATTATCTTTTTTATCGCCTTTTTTATTATATCACATATTTTAGAAGTTATCATAAATAAGGTATCATTTTAAGCTTACTAACTCAGAATTTATCCTGTGAAAACCGTTTTGTAATTGTGCATTACATTACCATAGAAACGGTACTCTACATTTTTTTTATCAGGCTCCTCCCCTTTTGGGCATAACACATTGTCAGAAAGGTCTGTGTCTCAAGGTTCCAGATTTTGTGACAGAATTGATATTTTGACAGAAATGTATTAATTTGTTAAGGCAGAATGTATACAACTAAATTCAATGGAATGTATGGCACCCGGTGGCTATTTTTGGTACTATGCCTAAACAAAATCTCATGGGAACTTTAGTTTTTCAAATTTGGAACATAACTTGGTTAGATATATGGCTTTGATTTTATAGTAATTTTAGGGTAAAAAAATATTTTGTAAAATATGTATTTTATATAAAATAAAATAAAAATATATAGTACAGTATATTTGATTTACTGTAAATTTAAACTTCCATAACTTTTTCCTACTTTCGTTTTTTGAAGTGTGCATTCTTGAATTACAACCAGTTAAGTTTGAATAGTGCATTTTAACCCCCATTCTCAAAAAGGGGTGACAGCTAAGGGGTTAAGGATGGGTTTCAGGCAGCATTTAAGAATGTATGTTCTCTAACTTATCTCAAGAGAGAAATCCTTCTTGTAGATTGACATATTAATGTTTAACAAAAAAGCAGGAATAAAGCTTTATAATGTTTTTATAGTTCATCAGGTGGATAAAATAGTCCTGAAAGTGATTCCATCTACAGTAGGGAGAACAAGTATTTGGTAGACTGCCGATTTTGCAGGTTTTCCCAGCACGTAGAAGTCTGTAATTTGTATCATATCAGTTTTTATCATTAATTAATTACTCAAAAATCATACAATGTGATTTTTGTTTTAGATTCCATCTCTCACAGTTGAAGAGTACCTATGATAAAAATTACAGACTTCTACATGCTTTGTAAGTGGGAAAACCTGCAAAATCGGCAGTGTATCAAATACTTGTTCTCCCCACTGTATATCGTTTTTCTCTGTGCCTCTATCGTTATAGCCGTGGTGTGAACAATTTGATATACTATTAAATAATTTATTCTTAATTTGAAATGGCTTTTATTTTTATATCTTCAGTTTTCATTTTAATTTGTTTTTAGTAATTTTGTTATGTGGTTTTGTCATTAGTGTTTTTTTTTATATTTCTATTTAGCTTTAATTTATTTTTTATATAATTTTTAGTGTAATTTTAGTACTTGAACTTAAGCTTTTTTTCAGTTAGATGTCAAGGCAATACTAATTTTTTCAGATTTTTTTAATTAATGAAAATGATTTTAAAGACCTTTAGTTTTAGTTCACAATAACGAAACTGCACTGAAAAATGCATGTCATGGCACAATGCAGTTTTGTTCTATTTATGTAATCAAACATACATTGTAATGTATACAACAAAATGTAATGCATCTAAAAATATGAGAACTTGACTACACATATCCTGTGATGAGCATTTATTATATTTAAAACTTGAAATTATTTGAAATTCATTATATTTAAAAGTATGAAATTCTTGAAAAAAAAACCTTACATTATGACATTTGTTTCATTTGTTGTTACATTTTTTTCTGCAGATTCTCATGACTATATTGATTCGTTGGTTACGCCTTGTTGAATTGCTTCAGCATTTTAGAAATTAAATTAATTTCTCTCTGTGTTTGTGTTAGAACAAATCTGGAAGCTCTGCAGAAGAAGCTAGAGGAACTGGAACTGGATGAGCAGCAGAAGAAACGCCTGGAAGCTTTCCTTACCCAAAAGCAGAAGGTTGGAGAGTTAAAAGATGATGACTTTGAGAAGATTTGTGAGTTGGGTGCAGGCAATGGAGGAGTGGTCTTCAAGGTCTTACACAGACCCTCAGGCTTCATCATGGCCAGGAAAGTAAGTTATGGTGAAGCAAACTTTATATTTCAGTTCTGATTTTTAGAAGAAATATCAGTAACCAGACAGTTTCTGGTCTCATTGACTTCCATAGTAGGAAAAAAATATACTATGGAAGTCAATGAGACCAGAAACTGTCTGGTTACTGATATTCTTCTAAATATCTGAAAATCGGCTGAATGGATTCGAAAACTGTAAAACTCAACTGTTTAACTCTGGGGGAGTGGTAAAACAAGCCTATTTCCAAAAAATAAAGCCAAATTACCAGTAGTCCACTACATAATGATGAAACAAATGTGTTTTAATATGAGAGCTCCCAGGGAAGAAAACCAGCTGAAGTGCAGTCAGCACATGAACTCCAAACAACTCATTTACACTTATACATGAAACTATGGAACTGACAGTATGCATGCAGAGAATCAGCTAACTATATAATGCAGACACCCTGGCAAGAATTATGCTTTGCACGGCACTTATTAAGAAAAAATCGCAACATGGTAAACATCAGGGTGGATGTTAAACATTAAATAATGTCAAATTATGTCAATGTTTGTTCAATTTCAGGAGCTAGTTTTATTTTTGTTTATTAAAACAAACCTATTTTGTTCACTTTTTCTTATTTTCATGTAGTTGATCCACCTCGAGATCAAGCCAGCCATAAGGAATCAGATCATCAGAGAGTTGCAGGTGCTCCATGAATGCAACTCTCCCTACATAGTGGGCTTCTACGGGGCTTTCTACAGTGATGGAGAGATCAGCATATGTATGGAGAACATGGTACTGTGTCCTCTCTCTGTGTCAAACATAATACAGAGGAAAATATAAAAATATATGAAGTTCAGTACTTTACGGTCAGTAAGATTTGAATCATTTTCTTTGTCAAGGATCCATCAAATTTATTCAAACTGACAGTAAAGATTTTTATTTCAAATAAATGCTGTACTTTTTACTTTCTATTCATCAAAGAATCCTGAGAAAGAAAATGGTTTCATTGATACCAAATATTAAGCAGTACAACTGTTTTCAACATTGATAATAAGAAGAAAAGTTTCTTGAGCAACAAATCAGCGTATTAGAATGATATTTAAAGGATCATGTGACACTGAAGAGTAACGATGCTAAAAATTAAGCTTTGACATTACAGGAATAAATGACAATTTAACATATATTAAAATTGAAAACAGTTATTTTAAATTTAAATAATAGTATTTCACAATATTACTGTTTTTTGCTGTATTTTTGTATCTAATAATGCAGCCTTGATTAGCATAAGAGCATTATAAGTCATAAGAGACTTAACTGTATATAAAGTTCAATATCCTTTCAGTATCTCTTCACTGCCTTTGCTTTTTTAGGTACTATATAAGAGTAACTGAATATATCTCCATCGAATTCTTTTTTTTTTTTTTTAGGATGGCGGCTCCCTGGATCAGTCCCTGAAGAAAGCAGGCAAGATCCCAGAACAAATCCTGGGCAAAGTTAGCATTGCAGTCAGTATCTATCTCAAAAATATCCTCGATCTCTTGTGGACTGTTTCCCAAAAAAATAAGGCTAAGTACAATGCTCAATGTTTCTGGACCTGTTTTCTTTCCATCCATGCAGGTAATAAAAGGCCTGTCCTACCTGCGGGAGAAACACAAGATCATGCACAGAGGTAATTGGTGGCATGCTACCTCAAACGGTCATCGGTTCATTTACTCTTTTGTTGACGCAGTTGACTGACGGGAAGACCTCTTCCTTTTCTTGCAGATGTTAAACCATCCAACATCCTGGTGAACTCGCGTGGTGAGATCAAGCTGTGTGACTTTGGTGTGAGTGGACAACTCATTGACTCCATGGCCAATTCGTTTGTGGGCACCAGGTCCTATATGTCTGTAAGTTTACACTTTCAGCAAAAATAAATATATACATAAAACATTTAAAGGAGTAGTTCACACTGATAATTTACTCACCCCCATCTCATCCAAGATGTCCATGACTTTCTTTCTTCAGTCGAAAAGAAATGAAGGTTTTTGATGGAAACATTCCAGGATTTTTCTCCATATAATGGACTTTAATGGGAACCAAACGGCTCAAGGTCCAAAAGACAGTTTCAGTGCAAACTGTTCAAAGGGCTTTAAACCATTCCAGACTATGAATAAGTGTCTTATCAGGCGAAACGGTCGCTCATTTAAAAAAAATAACAAAGTTTAAGTTTTATAAGCTCAAAGGGTCGCCTTGCTGTTCTATGATGCGTGTTTCCTTTAATTTGGATTATCTCGGAGCAGCCATTTGTTTGTTCAGGCTCCTGTTTTTCATCTTATCTCTTCCTGTATGATAATGTTAATTTCCTCTCTGTATGATTCTCCTCCCTATTTTTCTGTGTCCATCTGTAGCCTGAACGCCTTCAAGGGACTCACTACTCTGTCCAGTCTGACATATGGAGCATGGGTCTCTCTCTGGTGGAGATGGCCATTGGACGCTTCCCTATCCCACCACCTGATTCCAAGGAACTGGAGCAAATCTTTGGTCAGCCCCTCGAGGGTGACCCCTCCGCCAGCGAGGCGTCCCCTAAACCCAGGCCCCCTGGTCGACCCGGCGGGTGTGAGTGGCTGTATACCATCCTGTCTGCATGTACATGTACAAACTGATCAATTTTAAAGGGATACTCCACTTTTTTTGGAAATGGGCTCATTTTACAACTCCCCCAGAGTTAAACAGTTGAGTTTTACCATTTTCGAATCCATTCTGACGATTTTCTGATATTTAGAAGAATATCAGTAACCAGAATTCAATGAGACCAGAAACTGTCTGGTTACCGATATTCTTCTAAATATCAGAAAATCGGCTGAATGGATTCGAAAACGGTAAAACTCAACTGTTTTAACTCTGGGGAGTGGTAAAATGAGCCTATTTCCAAAAAAAGTGGAATATCCCTTTAAGGTGTTTCTGACTATAAAACTTTTATTTTTATCTGTTTGTCCTGTCAGCATACGGTCCAGACAGCAGACCTCCCATGGCTATATTTGAGCTGCTTGACTATATTGTCAATGAGGTAAGTTTAAAGTGGTGCTTATAAGACTACTAAACCACTTTATGGCAGTGAATTAATTAAAGTGAGGATTAATTGGCTGCTTCGCTTAGGCTTAATGGAGCATTTTTCCTTTTTCAGCCACCTCCTAAGCTACCAAGCATCTTTGGTGCAGAATTTCAAGACTTTGTTAACAAATGGTAAGCAACGTTTTTTTGCATTTAGTTTTATTCGTCTAACCCATCTATATGGGTTCGATTTCCAGGCAACTAGGATACTTACAAAATGCAGTGCACTGAATAAAAACATATTCTAATCTAAATGCACAAATGCTTATTCAGAGGAGCTTGCTGCTCCATCTGGTGGTTGACTAAAAAACAGTTTGAAATATGTTGCCTTCTACAGAGCTACGGAGATTTGCTCTCAAAAGTATTGTTACTTCGAGACGTTTTGCATCCCATCTCATTTTATTTCCTTCACCAATATTTTGACAATTTTTATACTCTGTTTCTCAATGTTTTCTTGTTTTGCTTAGTTTAATCAAAAATCCAGCAGAAAGAGCAGACCTCAAGCAACTGATGGTAGGAACAATCATTTTCTGTCAGTCCTCATACACAGATATTATTTTCAATTGCAAGACTGCACCTCAAACATAATTGTCTTTTTCAGGTCCATCCCTTCATAAAGAACTCTGAGGCAGAGGAGGTTGACTTTGCTGGATGGCTATGCAGCACCATTGGGCTAAACCAGCCAGCAACTCCAACTCACAGTGTGGGAATGTGAGCAGCGCCATCTTTTTCTAAACCAACCATTTAGTGTTTCTTCACACACAACATCTCCAGTTCCACCCTCAGGCCAACAGTAAACTGACATCTCCTGAATCCATCCCCTCTTTTTTTTTTCTATTGTCTTGAGTATTAACAAGCATACTGCTGTAATAACAATGCATCAAACCTGATAGGGTGCTTGAAATCTGTTGTCAAATACTGGTTGTTCAATGCTTTAATCAATGAGTTTTTGTTTTACAAAATCAATGTAATTCTAATTGCAAAAGCTATCAAAAGGCTGTTGCACTGCGCCAGAACATAACTGCAATGGATCCCCCTCTAAATGTGGACTTATGATATACTTCTCATCAGTGTTGTAGTACTCGAGGCTCGTCTCGGACTCGAGACCATATTTTAATGGTCTTGGTCTTGTCATGGACTCGTGACCATTTGGACTCGGAATTGACTCGTACTCGAACATTTTTTTTTTAGGACTCGGAATTATTCCCGAGTCCACTCGAGTTCAATTAAAAACATTTTTCATGATTATTAATGTATGTTAATAAAATATTTCTTTAAATTGATTGACACGCCCAGTGATCGGTGATTTTCTAGTGCGCAACTGCGCATGACAAATTGTAATAGAATTACTTTTAACACCACCTACTATGTGGCCTTTTTACCCTAAACTGATCATATTTTTTAAACTAAGTAAATTCAGCAAAAAAAAAAAAAAAAAAAAAAAAAAAAGGATTTCTCTAAGTAAATAAAAGTAAATTAGGTAATCGACCCTCACTGGTCACGGACTCGACTCTCTATGGACTCGGTCTTGACTCGGACTCGACTCTCTCTGGTGAGGTGGTCTCAGCTACAACACTGCTTTTCATATTCAGCTATCCCTGAAGTGGTTACATCTCATTGTTATATTTTGTGTTCTGCTTAATTTCAATATGGTGAATGTGCAGTCTTTAACTCAAAAGTGTGAAAAAAAGTCATTTAACTTATATTATATTAAGAGATTTATTTAACAAATGATAATTGATTGAATGTGGCAGTGCTTAAGTGGTATGCAGTGGATTAAAAAGGACAGATTTATCAATTTTCAATGGTTGTTTTATTTGAAAAGGATTTGTGATCGTGTCTGTTTATGAACCCTAAGCTTGAGCCGGGGCTGGAGCAGCTGCGGGCTTCTGAGCCTTGGTCTTCTTCACAACCCTCTTCTTCTTGGGTTTCAGCATCTTGGCCTTGATCTGTACAAAGTTCAATAGATTAGAAATTGCTCAGCTAGTAATTAGACAAGAGACTTGGTCATGAGGGAACTTACATCAGGGTTGTGTTCCAAGATAGCACGGCGACGTGCAGTCTTGGCGTAGGGGTTGAGCTTCAACATCACTCTCAGGTTCTTCAGAGGGTTCTTCTTGAACACTCTGCGATTAATTTTGCGGCTGCAATACAAAAAAAAAAAAAAACAAGTTACTTGACTAGTACTGTAAGCCTTTTTGATTCAGAGCAAGAGGGCTCAGAACTTCCAATACAATCAGTAGTCAGAAACACGGACCAGAAGTAGGAATCTCATCATTGCAATATGTTGACAAAATGACAAATCCAAGTAACCAAAACATACTTAGCAGGACGAAGTGCCTTCTGGACTTCCTCACTCTTGATGATTCTATGCAGATCTGTGGTGCTCATTTTGTGCTTGGGCAAGCTGGAACATGACAAGGCAGTTGTGTTCAATATGTACAAATTGTGTATATAGATGCAAAATGTTGCACATTTAAACAAGTGGGGATTCAGACCACCACATGTCAACTCAGAACTTATAATGTTATCATTGTGTTCAAAAACACGGACTAAGTAAATGTTCATCACTGTTGTACAAAGCACAACCAGAAAAGGAAAAAAGACAAAAAGGTTAAGGGAACTCACTTGTAGTCAACTTTAAGGGAGGAAGCTTTGCGCCAAGTGCCGTACAGGTTATCCAGTTTGCGGAAGGCACCCTCGGTCCAAATGCAAAAGCGTCCGATGTGTCCACCTGGAGCAAGCTTCAACAGGTCCAGTCTGCTCACGGACTGCAGTGTGACGCCTGCCAAAATATACCCTTGTTAATGATTTTACAACCATCTAGACAAACAAAATTGTGTTCAATTAGTCAGAACTTCCACTAAGATCATTTAATTCATAAACACGGACCTAGAAGTGGACCTCATCATGTATTGAGAGTAGTAATGAGAAGCAAATGTCAAATACAAGATCACTTTGCATACCAGGGATGTTTCTGAAAGCTCGTGTCACACCGTTGTCTTCATTGTAGATGATGCATGGTCCTTTACGCTGGATACGCCGTCGGTTCCTCATCTTACCCTTACCGGCACGCATACGCTGAGAAGCATAAACCTAGAGACCAGAAATATGCATTAAAAAGATTTAATTGCGGCAAACTGCAACATTTTCAGTCAATATCAAGAGTTTGAGAGTATCTCACCTTCTTGATGTCATTCCACGCCTTAAGTTTCTTCAAGAGAAGCACTGCTTCCTTAGTCTTCTTGTATCCTTCAACTTTATCATCAACGACGACTGGGACTTCAGGAATCTCCTCAATGCGGTGACCTGAAACATTTGGCATTGGTTACAAGTCAAGAAAACGAAATAAATTAAGTTTAAGCATGGTCATTTTAAAAATATTCAATATTTGCTACTTTCGAAAGGGAAAAACCAAATAGGTTTGATTTGGCTCTTCTGCAAACTGAGGATTCTTTAGCACTAAATTGAGAATGCTCAAGCATTATGAAGCATTTGTTCTCACCTTTTGCCAAGACCAGGGCAGGCAGAGCAGAAGCAGCCAAGGCAGAGCAGATGGCGTAACGCTTCTGGTTAACATTGATCCTGCGGTGCCAACGGCGCCAGGTCTTTGTGGGGGCAAACATGCGGCCACCACGACACATCTACACTGGAGTCAAGGGTCAACATTTCACACTAAACACATGTTCACACCAGAGCAAAATCTTTCAGACCAACACAAACATTTACATGTTGTCAAAAACTAAAATTGTACAATCTCTTTAATCAGAACACGCAGAAAACTGCAATGTAAGATCTGTGCTTTTTGTCAAATGCCCAGACCAGCTGCTGTAACAATACTAGCAAACTCCTACAGAAAGTCACAGCACTTGGTGAATGTGCTTTTCTATAAGGCACTTATTTACATGTTCATTCAGCCCATCTATCGCTTTTATGTTGGTGTGAACACCCCTTAATAACTAAATGTGTATGTAAACTTGCTCAGACTGAGAATATTCGTCAACCTTCCACACCAGCATGAGACAGCAGGCAACTGTCGCTGTGTGTAGAGTCAGACGCAAATTACACCATCACAGCAAGGTTTGCTTACAATCAAAGATTTGACAAGTTCTTCCAAGTAAATAGCGCGTTAGGTCAGGATACATTTCCGAAAGCACCCTGTCCGGAGCGGTGGGTACCACCACCACGCACACGGGGGATACGGGCCACGGCTCTTCCTGTGCCCCAGGATTCGGCGCTGGTCTGGTGACCTGAAATGACACATCTTTTGGAGTTATAACTGATCATACCATAATATAGAGAAATTTCAAAAACAAGACCAAGTCTCATCAGAACTTCTATCATAATCAGGTGTCAGAAACACGGACCGAAGTTGAATATCATCATTGAAGAAACTTTTTAACTCAAAACTTGTATTTACACATCACTCACCGGCCTGTTCGCTTACAGCATAGGGCTGGCGCTTGTTCTTGCGCATGTTGGTGTGCACAAAGTTCACAACATCAGGGCGGATGGGAGCCCTGAACACTGCAGGCATAACCACATTTTTGCCGGTTGTCTCCCCTTTCTCGGAGTAGACCGAGACTAACGGTCGGGCGCAAGCCTAAAACAAAAAAGACGTATGAATAACTTCCATATATTTCCAGGTTTATTCATTAGTTAGAGCTTTTAATCTTGCTCAGTCTTAGTTTTCATCAACCTCCTGTGCCAGCATGAGACAGCAGGCAACTGTCACTGATCACAGAGTAGGACGCAAATTACACCATCATAGCAAGAGTACCATTTTTTAGGAAAATGAAGCAATAAAAACAGTGATAAATTGTGGATTTAAGTTCAGTCTTTCAGACAAATTGTCATTTTAAAGTAAACGATCCATTTAATACTTGCCCATGCTACCCAAAATTAAGAGCGTATGCGCTCAAATAAAACTAGGCCACAACACGCAAATTGACGTTTCCAACAATGTTATTACATGTATTGTCAACTTGGCTGTTAAATTCTACTTGGATCACAAAGTAGAGAGTTCTAAAACAGAATAAATGTGTTCTTTATAAGAACGTCTGAATATTTGAGTCAGCTGCCAAACCATTACTACTACACGTGTATACATGCCGAACTGGATCAAAATGGCTGCCGAGATTCGCTGTAACGCGAGCATAATAGCTAACGCCAAACATTTCACCCAAAAACAACTCATAATGATCTACATGCACGGAAAACAATGAAATTAAGAATGTTTATTGAAAAAAGGCATTCATTGTGCTCACCATTATAGTAAGTTTTCACGGCACGCCAGGAACCACGCTCCTAACTCGATGGCGGCCACGGAGGAAAAGGAAGAATGCAGCACTACACAGGCGCTTGCATATCCATCCGACTGACGTCACTTCCGCCCAAGTCAGAGGTTTATAATATATAAGCTGATATAAATATATATATATATATATTTTATAAAATAATTTTAAATCATTCATTATTTATTGAAAATGAATTGCAATAAGTTAATTGTGATAAAATAATAAACGTGGCAGTATATTTTGGCACTATTTTTAAGTGGTGGAAGCTGGCGGATGGGTCATATGGAACTACTTACAATAATTGTGTCAAATATTTATAAACGTTTGGATTTTTTTTAGTATTTAATATCTTGCATTTAAGATGAAAATAGTATTGAATTTTATTTGAAAAAAATTGTTTTGTTGTTGAAGATTCATTTTTAATAACAATAGGCGTGGCAAAAAGACGTCTGCGTGAATGCGTCGTGGTGACGTACATTAGGCGCGCTGTTATCAAATCGTTTTTCATCAAAAGTTTTTCATTCAACCGGGGAGCATTTTTATCATATTTTTTATTTTACAACGAAGGGAATGGGATCCAAACTAGTTTCCGACGCAAACGCTTTTGTTAAATTTCTCAAGTGAGTAACTTAATTGTCGTTATGTTTTCTACTGCGATTAAACTTGAATAAAACTAGTAAACTGTCAAGTCTGTCATGTTTTACTACGTATAGTATATGTTATTTATGTAATTCACATGCTTAACTCATTTATTTCATTGCCTATTTTAGGTTATGTCAAGATGAAAGTAAAGACAACTGCACGTATATGGTAAAATGAATATGGATGCATATGTATAGAGAAGATGCTCAGTAACGTGTGTTGAAAATAAGTTGTTGCTTTGTTTCAGGATGATATTTCAGTACTGCTGGTGGAGAAGGAAGAGCTTTTACACAGCATAATCAGTGGAAATCAGCCTGTCTTTGTCTGTGAGAAAGCAGTAAGTCAGTTTGTGATTGCCCCCTATATACACACATTATGTGTCATTCCTATTTAAAGTAAACATTACATCATTTGTAAACTTATTTTATCAAAAGCAACCAAAGTGTGAAGCAACATCTTCAGAAACTTCAGCTGACACCAGTGTTGTTGAAGAGATACTTTATAAAGTGGAACAAGATCTGGGGCCTCAGCCTCTCTCTGTCATGAAAGCAAGGTAGAAGAAGCTTGTTGCAATATAGTATAATTAAAACTAGCATTGTGATTATGAATAAGCATAACTCACTTTCTTCAACCAGGCAGCTGCTGTCATGGTACACCATGGCTCACAACCCCAACATGCCCCAAGTGGAAGTCCCAGGCACTTTGCACCCTCTCTGGGTCCGTTGTGACAAGTCTGACCCATGTGCCAGTGCCTGGCTTGGAGTAGAAACCGTCTACAGTGGGAACAAAACCAGTGGTGTCAAACTTTATACAGTCTGCTGCAAAGGTAATAGCACTCATTACTCGTGTATAACGTTATGGATCCAATCCAGTAATTTTACGAATAAGATAATTCTTTGTTAAGAGAAACAACCTTCTATTATTATTTCCCAATTTCCTGCAGGTCCAACAAGAGATGAAACCTCTTTCACCACATTGGATGAGCTTAAACAAGATCATCAGAATAGACACCATCCTACTACAGTAAAAAAAAAAAAAATTCTGTATAACTCCTATTGGTACTTCACTATTAGATATCTATTAAACCTAATTATCAGATTTTTTTTTTCTCCAGGTGGCGACCAAAGGCTATGCACAGTTCAACATGTTTTGCTCCATGAAAGAAGAAAGCATGATGTTTGAGTCTCAAAGCAGTGTGATAGCAAGTCTGACATGGAATAATGTGGAAAAAGTCTTGGAATGTCCTCCCTTGTCTTCTAAAGCAACTCTGGTCAGCACCTATTCATTTGCCCTTGACACTTTAGTCATTTAGTTTTGTTTACTGTATATTGGGGTTCTTAGTTTTTTGTTTTTTTGTTTGGTTTGATGTTACAGAATATCAAAGTCTCAGTTGGAGACATAAGAAGTCCATTGTATCAGACCCACAGAGAGATGGAGTTCCTTCTGGTAAGGAATTATTTTAATATTATTTATATACTATTATAGGGTTTATTTACATAGCCAGATTGCAGTAGTTCTGTTATAGATGGAAAAATGTCTCACTCTAATATATAATTACTTGCAATGTAATAATGATATCGTTATTTTTATTTTAAAACCTTTGACTAGGCTCTGGCAGAGGGTTTGAGAACGGGAGAAACTGAATGGTTGGAACCAATGGATACTCAGTCTGCAGTGGACCGGACCAGAGCACTTATAGAGGGTAAATACAGTGAGATTGATCTGTGTGATATTAATACACCGAAAATAGATATGAATGCTACTGATTGTCTGTCAGTCTTGGCTTTATAGTGTGTGAAGTTTGAGGGCGATGGATTATTATGTTTATCATGTTTCCTTTTTATTTTAGATCTTGAGAACCTTGCTCATGGAGTACCAGGACACACTGGCAAACTTTCTGAGGTAAATTGATAATATAATAATCAGGGCCGGATTTACCTCATAATGTGACATAGGCAAAATGAATTTTTGGATTTATATTGTGGTGTTATATATGATCATACATTGCATATGTGATGTGTCATTAATATTATATTATATTATATTATATTATATTATATTATTAACATTTGACCAAAATCAACCTCAAATTCAGTTTTGAAGTTTTTGAGCTGTGAATGTCGCATTTTCATTAGAACAGCCACATCTGAGAGGCATTAAGTGCATCGTGTTACATTTTCATCAACTTTCAGGTTATGAAGTTAATTGTAGCTCTTGCTGTTTTTCTGTCTTTTGGCCAAAATTTCATGTCATAAAAGATGAAGTGATTCGCACAGGCTTTTTAAGAGAGTATTGGCAGTGACTCAACATTAAATGCTAGACCAAGACACTCTTCTCTGCTCCTCAAATACATACAGTAAAACATTATATATATATATATAAATATAAAAATAACCAGGGTTAAGATAGATATTTGCGTCATTGACAGGCGACAATGACAAGGGACGAGTCATTATTTAAAATTGGAATTTCTCTGAAATATTTGGGAACTTTTGGGATATTGTAAGTACACAACTGCAGGAAATAAATCACACTATTCAAGTGATTTTTAGGATTACTAAAATCTAAAAAGGAGTAAATGGAGCTAAAATGAGCAAATGGGTGAAAAAAACAAAATATGGAGATTCAAGGTTTCTACCCGATTATTGTTCAAAAATTCTCCTTTTGTGTTCCACTGAAGGACAGTCATATGTGTCGTAATGACATCAGTGAGGAAATAATGACAGAATTTGTATTAATGGATAAACTATCCCTTTAATCTTTTGTAACAGAAACAGAAAGCTAAGGCAGATGCTGCTGCAGTTTTCAGCTCGATGGTAATTGAGAGAGGAGACCTGGATTTTACTGAACAACTGTGGGAGAAGATGAGGAGGAGTAAATATTAACATTGGAAAATTTCACAAACACAGTAAAACAATTTCACTGTAACTAAATAAATTACACTTTCCTTCTCATAGGTGTAACTTCATATCAAGACATAACAGAATGCCTGAAAATTGTGGTCAAAGCAGTGAAACTTGGTAAAATCAAACCATGGGTGTGTGTTACTTCATTGTGCATAAATGCATTATATTTTTTTGGTTAAACATTGTGAATTTTTTGAAAATGGTATGTAATGAGTGTATCTTCCCCCTTAGATCCACAAAGACAGCAATAGCACTCTCAGTAAGTTGATCGTGCAGTCGTACCAGCAGCAGATTGACACCGTGTCTCTCACTGGCCTCACACCTGCTAATATGCTGCTGGAGTTGGGCCTGGACAAGATCAGGAAAGACTTCATCAACTACCTTGTTGGTACACTAACTTTCACATTTTAAATGTTGCTCTTTTGGTTTATAGTTCACTTCATCTGCTAATTAGCTACATAAGAAAGTTGTTAATTTTTAGATGCTAAAAAATACTTTGAGAAGCAGACTATAATACTTGATTCTGACTTTATTCTTTTTTTAGGAAAGGAACTTACAACTCTGAACTATTTGGTTGGAAACTCTTTAATTTTTATTATTATTATTATTTTTTTTGTAAAGATTTTGGTCGATATTAATATAATGTTGCTGGATTGGTTGATGTATTTAATCTCAAATTTTCAGAGTTACTACCTGGACACTGACGTTGACCTGCAGGAGCAGGTGATACGAGTGAGGAAACTGCACCACCTGCTGGAGATCCTGGGCACCTGCAGTACTTTTCTCAGTCTTCCTCATGACCGCCTTTTCCTTTTCACTCAGTGAGCTTCCTGCCCTTTCCCTGAATTATATATTAATCAAATGGTGATTCAAAATGTACATAAGAAATATATTATTCCATTTTTCACAGGAAATTGTAGTTTATGATTTAGGGTGCGCTTTTCCATCAGAGAACGCTGCATCGCAAGAAATTAAAATAGAGAAAAAAATCTCATTTCAGTAGCTGGGTCTTGGTAAACGTGTTCTAACCATGATATCTGATATTGTCAGGTCCTGTTTGCAGTACTATAAAACATCCGACTATGACGAGGACCACGTCTTCCAGTTGCAAGTTAAGCCTGCCCTCATTAGCTACTTTTATGAAAAGTGAGTTGATGCTGCATTTCTTATGAGCTGTCATATTGTCTCTGTATTACTTTTAGTGCTGTAATTGTTTAAATGTAATATAGATTATGTAATCAGAATCCAAAAATGAAACTCATTTAGAATACAGTTACATTTTTATTGATTACATGATTACTTAATATTCACAAAATGGCAGTAAATTATTCAGAATTCATTGATTCTTTTTAGTCATTTAAATTTTTCTTTTTCTCAAAAGTTTTATGGAATTGCACACACAGACTGGCCACAAGTCAGGTGACTATTATTACATTTATTGGTGTGAATTTATGTTATTCTCTCAGGGAGCAGCCATTCTCTTGGGGTATGGAGGTGTCCAGTGGACAGGGGTCTAAGGAAGTCAAGACAGCATTGTACCTCAGTGACAAGCCCCTAGTAGACCACATCTGTTTTGACTTAGGTGAAGTCACCGGTTTCCTTTTTCTTTTAATTTTCTTATATCTTTTGTTGTCCAGTTGAAAAGAAAGATGACATCTAAACTAATATTGTCACACACACATACAGATATGCCCCTGGATGAGTCTGTCAATGGAGAGTGTGAAAAGATGTCTTACTACAGGGCCACGGTGAGCTGTAGCCTCATCAGCTTCACTTAACACCGGTAAGACTTCATTTAATAGAAATGTACTCAGAAAATGTAGTAGAAAAGAAATTGTAATTTAAAAAAAAAAAAATTGTTGCAGTAGTTTTAATATGTTGCATTTATTGTGTACAATACTGTTCAAGTGTTTTTATGTTTTTGAAAGAAGAGTCAAATGATCAAGGCTGCATTTATTTGAAAATAAAGTGATAATGTGAAATATTGTTCCAATTTAAAATAACTTTTTATTTAATGTATTTTAAAATGTCATGGAACTTTCAGAAGCCATTACTCCAGTCACCTGTCTTCTAATATGATCAGTTGATGCTCATGAAACATTTCTTTTTATCATCACAGTTGAAAACAGATGTGCTGGTTAATATTTTGGTGAAAACATGATGCAATTTTTTAGGGATTCTCCGATGAATAGAAAGTTAAAAAGAACAGCACTGATTTGAAATAGATATATTTTGTAACAGTATACATGTATTTCCTGACACTTTTGATCAATCATGCGTCATTGCTGAATAAAAATGATCAATTTCTTTCAAAACAATTTTTTTTTTTAAATCTGACCCCAAACCTTTGAACAGTAGGGTTGAATGCAACTGGTTTAGTCCACATAGAAAGAACTGTGGAGAACATCCAAAACTGAAAGACTATTTGCCTATATCATTTAAAGGTACAATATGTAACTTTTTGTTGTTGTTGAAAATTAACTAAATTTAAATGATTCAAAATCAATCCTTCCTCCAAAACATGTTTTTGTCTTACCCCAATTCACTTAAGTAAACTTGCCCATGCATGTCTTGTCATATCCATAAATATAGAGAAGTCGCTCCGGCTAGTTTGACGCACGTGTGGTGTGGAACAAATTGGAATTAAAGAACAAACAGTTTACAAAACAGTAGGATAACCATATTCATCCGCACAGTCCCGCAGTCCCGAGTCGAAGCACGACCAAAACAATGTACTTCTACAAAATGCATGCAGTTTTGTTTTTTAACTGCAAGAGGGCCAAAAGTTATAATGTACCTTTTAAATTCAGCATATTATCTTTAACCTTAGCATCCCTGCCTGCAAAGAGTATTAAATGAGAAACTGTCCGAATTCAGTTATTTTTCGTTATAAAAAAGTGAGCTAATTGCGTTTACGCAGCAGGAACATGAGAAACACAGCGCTGATCAAAATGCAGAGGGTGCACACCGTAGGAACCACAACCTCAGTCACCATCTCCATGTGGCTGGTTAAAGGATCTAAAACATAGACACACAAACACGTTTATCAGCCCAAGCATTTTAGCACAGCACAGTCTTCACAGCATAACAGAGCACTCAAAGGGTTAATATAGTTATCTTCTAGCTGTGCTGTTTGTGTGTAATGGCTTACCATGAATAAGTCTTAGAATATTGGCAGCCGTATTCCGCTGTTCCTCTAATGAAGAGAGAGAAATAATCTTAGGATGTCATCAGGGCACGTTAACCCTTTGAGGGCCGCTGTGTAAGCTCACATTAAAGCAGCACAATTCAGTCAACTAGGTTATAAGAAAAAGGACGTCATCCACATCAAGCATCTTTGACATTTATTCATTTATAAACTGGCTGAAACAATTTGAAATCTGAATGAGCAACGTTCAGATTAAAAAAAAGATTTTGAAATCTGAATAATCAGATGATTTTTTTTGTTGTTGCTGATAATATAGAAACCTCAGCAAAACAAGCTAAAGCAGAAGTGAGTTTACTAATGTTTTAAATCAACAAGGCATTTTCGACCACAGAACTGCCACTCTCTGAATATTTTCTCTTTATCGGCTCATTATCTGTAAACCCTAGAGATGGTTTTGTGTGGAAATCCCAGTAGATCAGCAGTTTCTGAAATACTCAGACCAGCCCGTCTGGCACCGACAACCATGCCACGTTCAAAGTCCCTTAAATTACTATTCATTCTGATGCTCTTGCTGCCATGTGATTGGCTGAATAGATATTTGAGTCAACAAACAGTTGGTGTACCTAATAAAGTGTATTATCTACTGCATATTTTGCAAAAAACTTTGTTGTTAAAAACAATTTTGTTGTTAAAATCCGTTAAGACTTGTGCCTTTTGGTCTTCTCTTTCAAATACTGTTTGTTTCAAATCAAATTTGTGATTTACCTCATAACTGGTTGGTTTGGTTGATGACTGTTGCCCTCAACAGTATATAGAACATTGTAATGAAATAAGGTTTCTCGGTGTACTGCTCCCTTAAAGAGTACTTCAATAGCTGATCTGGCTTTTTCTTTATGTTGGCATTTAATTAAGATATGGGCTCTGAAGATTTAAGATATTTCAGCTTCTCAAGATTAGAGTAGGCCAGAACTGGAGTTGCTTAATGTTCTTTTTTATCCAACTACACCACAAAATCACTGTGAGTTTTTTTTTAACGACATTATCGGAAGTTTGCCAAGCCAAAAAGAAAAGAAAGAAGTTTTTTTCTTTACCCTAGTGTCTAAACTTCATCATGCACTGGCCAAACCTTTGGCATCTCTGCATGATCTTTATTTTCCTTGGATTTTTCATCTAGCTGGAGGGGCAAACAAAGAAAAATCCTGTTAGAGGTTTCAGCTCAGTCTCTGTTTCTGACCTCCCCAAAAGCCTTTGTCGATCCATTCTCATGGTAAGCATACCGGGTCCCTATGGACACTAGCGGCTAAGTAGAAACCTTGTCAAACCACAAATGAGGTTAGCATAATAAAGCACTGGAGATCCAGATGAAGACCAGGAATGTTCTCATGCACTGTTCAAGGGGAATTTGTACCCATTGAATTTGTTCTTGATTAAAGGCTACACGATTATTCCTTTCAGTCTGTGGTCAACAAATGGAATTTTTCCTTGTTTGCCCTGGTTCAACTAAGTTAGAATCAACGATCCACTGACCTGCAGCCAGGAGCTGATTGCTGGTGGAGCAAGTCTCTATAGCTTTCCTCTTCCAGTTCTCAACCTGCCGATGATGAGGATTCAGAGCATATGGTCATTGTCTCATTTAGTCATACTGTTCTCTTACAGATGGAGGTTTGCACAGATGGACACTCCTTTCAAGATTCTATTCTGATTCTTCTACTCTAATCTGTCCTTTAATGTGGCATTTAACATGGCTGTTTAAGTCTGTTAATTACACCACCTTTAATACATAATTTTATGTATAATTGTTTATATAATCTGTTGTTTTGTGTCATCTGAAAATAAACATTTGGAACATGTCCAAGGCAATGAGTTGGAGTTTGTTCAATAAACAGAGAGAATAATTAGGGAAAAAAGCATTTATATGGTAATTACATTCTAATCTTGGGGGTTCTCCAACAATGAGGTTGTTGCCTTATTCCTCCTAAACTGCTATTTAATTGGAAAATGTCTAAATAGCATGTTTCAGTACCTCCAAAATGTTAGTACAAGATGGCAGTCAAACAATCTGGAGCAGAATCAGTTCATTTAAAATGTTAATTAGATCGTTCCTTAAAAATAACTTTTACTATTTAACTGTGAGTGTGTGGAATAACTATTTTTGTGTGTTTTATGATTTAACAAGTGTCCTTGTAATGTATAAAACTGATATTTAAAGGGATACTCCACTTTTTTTGCAAATGGGGCTCATTTTACCACTCTCCCAGAGTTAAACCGTTGAGTTTTACCGTTTTCGAAACAATTCAGCGGATTTTTTGATATTTAGAAGAATATCAGTAACCAGACAGTTTCTGGCCTCATTGACTTCCATAGTATATTTTTTCTCCTACTATAGAAGTCAGTGTGACCAGAAACTGCCTGGTTACTGATATTCTTCTAAATATCAGAAAATCAGCTGAATTGTTTCGAAAACGGTAAAACTCAACTTTTTAACTCTGGGGGAGTTGTAAAATGAGCCTATTTCCAAAAAATATATAATTATTATAACTAGGTAGTCATAACCTCCATTCTTTTCTATTTAACACATAATGAACAGTATAGATGTTACCTCTCTTTGATTGGGAAATCCATTAGAATTAATGACGCGTTTGTAGAACTGAACAGAGGCCTTGGGGTAGCGAGGTTTATTTTTGTTCTTGAAGTCTACGTAGTACAAGCCGAACCTCTCTGAGTAACCCTCATCCCACTCAAACTTGTCTAGCAGGGACCAGGCGGTGTAGCCCTTCACGTTCACTCCATCCCTGATAGCTGCAGGATAACAAGAAATAAGATCCAATGATAATTCTGTTCACATTTACCCACCATCATGTTGTTGCAAACCTGTTGACTTTCTTCTATGGAACACAAAAAATATATATTCTGATATATATTTGGAACAACATGAAGGCAAATAACTGATGAGGAAGTTCATCCATTCATTGATTAATTTAGTTACCTTTGAGCATCTCATTGATGTAATCCTTGTAATACTGAATCCTCCAGTCATCACACAGTTCTGTGCACGTCATCTTCTCTGAGACCCCGTTCTCAGTGATGAAGAGCATGGGGTTCCCATATTGAGTCTTTAGTCAAAGAGCATAAGTCAAGAGTTTAAAGACTTGATTATATTTGATCTTATCATACATATACAAATTCCCTTGTAGTACTGTCAAAAAGAAATTAGTAATAAAGAAATATTTATGATTGAAACAAGATTCATCATGAGGAAATGTCATATGAAACCAATGGCTTTGTGTACCTTTATAAAGTTGAGCAGACGGCGAAAGCCCCAAGGAACCGAGTAAAGCCACTCTGAACCAGGATCGGGCCAACGTGGGTCGACCAGCTCCGCTATATCCCGATCTGAGAAGTAGGTGCCACGGTTGGATGGGAAGCTTTTTGGGTGACGTAGCGTGTCGTGAAGTGTCCCACGCCTAGGAAGTCACAGGTGCCTTTGATGTAACTCTTCTCCTGAGAGGAAAAGGAGGGAAGGCGAGACGTTCCCAAGCCCTGCTGTGTACTTTTCCTCCCTTGGATACAAAATTGGCATTAATATGCTGAATTTTCCCATTCTTGACCTCACATATTCAACTTTGCAGGAGTACCTATGAAATCCTTCATCACTTGAGGATAATCTCCATGAAAGATGGGTGTTGCAAACCAGCCTATGTAAAACTGCACATATCTCTCAGCAGCCTCAATGTCCTTCTGGTTAGTGATGTCCACAGGCTCTCCCCAGTCCCCATACAGTGAAATACCCACCATACCTAGAGAAGAAAGCAGCCAGAGGGTTCAGAGGGTGTCATTTTTGTTAAACTAGCAGACATTTGTAAGCTCATATACCTCTTTGTTTGCTTCGCCACTGAGAATCGTAAGTGTGCCAAACCTTAGCATGTGCCTGTTATTAAACCAACACAAACAGTATTGCATGTCTCCATTTTGAAATACTATGGTGCAATGTTCTGCCAAGGGAATGATGTTACCTTAATGATGTGGTGAGCTGCTCTGTAGGCCCCCGTGCCCCTGAGCTTCAGTCCTGGAGCATGTTCTCCAGTTTCATATCCTTCCACCGCCACTGCCTGACACACATTGAGCACATTAATGAGCATATCCTTTACACATTAATTTAATTTGCTGGCATTAAGTAAAGATGTGTAGTGAGCATACCCATGGGTTATTAAAGGTTATCCAGTATTTCACACGGTCCCCATATCGTTCAAAGCAAAGGTTGGCAAAATCGTTGAAATAATTAATCATGCTGATGTTCTGCCACCCACCATATTTCTCTTGCAAAACCTGTCCAAATGTACAGACATGATGATAAATGATAACACTTTCCAAAAGGGTTACAGAGAAATCAATTACATCGTCAATGCAGTTGGATAGGTTACATTTAATTGATGTTTTTATTTTTACTTGTCAAAACTTGACATATTGTTGAAAAATATGTAAAAAAAAATAATCAAATTGACTCCTGATGAACTGACTTTAGGTTAAATGCTGTATTAACGTTTCACAAATGAAAACATGGATGTCGGGACAGACGAGAACGGCCAATTTGAATCCCATATTAAAAAGTTTGCCTTGTCCTATAAATGAATAGCCAAAACGCATTTTCTTTAGTTGAAAATGATTCTGTGTAAATGGTCCCTAAGTCACTTTTTACATCAAGCGGCTTGTTGGTCAATGTGGGGAATCCTTGACCAACTTTGCGTAGGCGCTCATGTGGAACTCCCCATCGTACTGATTCGCCCACAAACTTTTATCAAGAAACAGTAAATGTGAGCATATCTTAAAAGATGCATTTAGTTTTGCGTTTTTCACCTACAGACGACAATGTTGTCAAAACGATCCCGTTCACACGGATCCGCGAAAGCAACTAAAAATGCTGTATTATGCTGCCAGGCCAGTAGTTGGCGATGTCACTCAGACAAAGAACAGAGAGTGAACGTAGTAGAGTGCCGAATGATGACGTCATTTTCTAGGACAACTCTCGGAAGCTAGCGGCGCATGGCATGCCGCGCATCGGTTCCCTCGATCCAAAAGTTATGCATTTTCCCCCTAGACTTTTGGAAAATCGCAAAAAATGAGATTTTAACAAAGAGTTGTGACCTTACATGTTTTGTCTATCAAGATAATCTTTACAAGTTAATTCAAAATGTATAATTTTTTTTTAAAAACACAAAAAGACACAAAAACTTAAAAAAAAAAAAAACCCCACAAGGTTATAACTGTATGTTCTATGTCATACATCAAAAAGTGAAAATATTTAGAGGCTTTGTTCACCACAGACCTTATTTCAGGCGATTTAGCAAAAACCCATTCAAAAATCCCATAGACTTTAGAGCGAGGGAACCCGGAGTGCTACTGCTAAAATGCTAAGTCACTTCCGCGTTTTGGCCTACAGAGTGACGTCGTAACTTCTGCACTCTGTACACATGAGCATGACGTCACCATTTTCATGAATTCATAGTTTACACAGAGGCAATAACGGTAACTTTAAAAAAAAAAAAAAAATACTTGCACTTTGAATCCAGTTGGCTTTTAGGCCCCCAAAACAGTTCTTGCGTAAATGAACGGCCAAAACGCTTAAAAAGTTTTCCAGTATTAGTTGAAAATGGTGTTGTGTAAACATCGTTTACACCTCAAATTCTGAGAAAATTTTGCAGGCAAAAAAAAGGTTAATTTTGTTGCGAGCATTGAAGGACAGCTCACACAGACGTCAATGTGAAAGTTTCTGAGTAAGTAAAATAGAATTTCTTTGTCCTTACGCGAAACTCCCGATCACGCAGATTCCTTGATTTCAGCCACGAAATGTGCCATCATGTCAAATTTTACAACATATTTTCTGGGGTTTTCGTAACCAGGCATTATTATTATTAGGCTTAAATACCCGTCAGCTGAACATTCAATAAAGTCCAAGTAACATAGAGCCCATTGAACAGAAGGTAGGACCTACATGCCTCGTTTTAATTCGCAAAAAAATAAATATGTCGTTTAAGATCTATTCATTAAAAGAACGGTTAAAGAAATCATACCATATGATATTAAGCACAATATTAATAATGGATATATGCAGGGTACACACCTGTGGCAGGTCCCAATGATACAGGGTCACTATGGGAGTGATATTATTTTCAAGAAGCTCATTAATAAGAACATCATAATACTTCAGTCCTTTCTCATTCACATGGTCAGCTGTAAACACACAAAAATGGAAGTCGAATTTAATGGGAATTTATTCATATCAAATGTCCTACTTTGAGCCAGCAGTAGATACTTACACCTGATACCAGTTGGCATGATCCTGGGCCAGGAGATGGAGAACCGATAATGATTCAGATTCAGCTCTTTCATCAACAAAATGTCATCCTATACAAGAAAATGAAGCAAAAAGTTGTTGCATTTCACCCCTGGGACATTTTCATAGTGAATCAGCATGACAAGAACCAACATGGGCACCTTGATTTTGTAGTATCCATCGCACGAAGAGTCTCCAGTATCATTCAAGAACGTCTTTCCCTTCTTATGAGTGAACACATCCCAGATGCTCAGTCCTTTCCCATCTTTGTCCCAGGCTCCTTCTGTCTGATAGGCTGAACCGCCGGCTCCCCACGAAAATCCTGACAAATAAAGCAAAACAGTGAGGAACACGTCTTAAACATTCTTATTAGTCATTTTACTTATTTAACTTTTATTATTGCTTTCCCAAGCGCCTTTGTGGCTAAGGAAAAGGGATCCGTATGGTATTGGTAGGATCGTACCATTTGGAAAAGTGCCATAATAGAAGGAGTCGTGGTTGTTCGCTGACCAGTCGAAGTCCTCAGCCGCAGACAGACACAACACCAGCACAAGCACATGACACACTCGTCCAACGCGGTGTGACAGCATCATATTCCAGCGCTCAGCGACTCTCTTCAGGACCACACTCTCCTGATCTGAGAGGTAGTTACCCTTTCACAAGACATGATTCAATGAATCACTATGACTGAAAACAATATCTTTTGCTTAGTAATCAATGATCAAACCTCATACTGTTGATTTAAACATACCTCTCACAGAATCTGCATTGATCCCTGATGGAAGTGCCTTTAAAATCGATGAGAACTATCCTGGGGTTTGAAAGTTGACGTACAAAGTCTGTGACTGTTCAGCCTGGGTGGCAAAGCACTGTGCTGGACTAAAGGTTGTCCCATGACCTCAATGTAGACCCATAAGCCTTCCTATTGAGGGTCAATGGACTGTGATCACATTTTGCAACGGTGGACAGATCTCTTACAAACGAGGGTTTCACTCTGTAAGCAAAGTTAATGTTGGAGAGGCTGATACTCTTGTGTTTACTATAACAATGACAGCATGGTGGGATAAATTGACCCACAATATTACACAGCAGGTATCAAGGATCTTATTCTTACTCCAATATTATTATTATTATATATTACATAACCCGAAAGTGAAAACTGCCTCATCATTTACGCAACCTCATGCCGTTCCAAACCCGTAAGACTTTCGTTCATCTTCTGAACACAAGTGAAGATCTTTTAGACGAAATCTGAGAGCTTTCTGTCCGTCGATAGTCAGCTACACAACTGAGAATTTGACACTTCAAAAAGTTCATAAAGAGATCGTGAATCTAATCCATATGAAGTGAGCGGTTTAGGCCAAATTTTCTGAAGAGACTTGACCGCTTTATACAATGAACAGATTGAATTTGGGCTTTTATTCATGTATAAACATTGATCACTGAACATGAACCGCTCAACCGAACCTGCGTCACACATGAGAATGGACCTCATTGGTTCTTGAAGAAGCTCACACACACTGCGTAACACGAGAATGGACCTCATTGGTTCCTGCAGAAGCTCAAACACACTGCGTAACACGAGAATGGACCTCATTGGTTCCTGCAGAAGCTCAAACACACTGCGTAACACGAGAATGGACCTCATTGGTTCCTGCAGAAGCTCAAACACACTGCGTAACACGAGAATGGACCTCATTGGTTATTGCAGAAGATCAAACGAACTGCGTAACACGAGAAAAAACCTCATTGGTTCTCGCATGTCAAGCAATCTAATCTCTTCTAAACTGCTCAATTCATATGGATTACTTTTACGATCTCTTTATGAAATTTTTGAAGCATCAAAGCAGTAGTTGTGTAGATGTCTATGGAAAGACTGAAAGCTCTTAGATTAATGACAGAATTTTCTTTTTTGGGTGAACTATCCCTTTAACTTGAATTTTTTATTAAAAAATTGCGCCATCATCTGTGAATAGCCCATTTATATATTTGTGGCATCATTTTTTCCCAGAGCTGCCCTTGCTCTTTTTGTGAAGCATAGCACATTGTTAACAGGTGTTTAGAAAATGCTGAATGCTCGTAGAGTTTTTACTGCGTTGCAGGTTCAAGCTGTGTTTTGATGGGGCAGAATCTGTACCTCATTATATCATTATTACTGGCCAACAGAGGAAATGCGGCTGTCTGATCATCATACTCGCCTTTATTAGCATGTACCAAGGGGTTAATGTAAAAATCTCATTCACACATCATACATTTACATAAAGGCAACACCAAAACACCAAACAATCTGCATCACTCCAGGTCTATTACGCTGAGCACCATCAAAATCCGCAGAAAAGAGGTTTTTCTCTAAGAAAACATAGAAACTCTCTGTATATTAACAATGAAGTACCAAAAAGTTATAATACTGGCTCAGCTAGAACAATTGTCATGCCCATGCATACACAACCTATTCCACACACTCAGTTTAAATAGAAAAAATACCTCAACATGAACATGAACATACATAATACTTATCATCAGCTTCATAATCATAATGCATCCAATCTGAAATCAATACAATATTAAATAAAGCCTGTACAGGTACAGCATCACTTGGTAAACACCATGAAATAGGATTGGTGCAATCTTTAATTTATATGTATTTAGAAATACATAAAGTGCAGGCTTGGCCAACAGCACAGTTATAGGAGGAGTTCTATTTGTGCTACACATATTTCTGGAGGATTTTATAGATGGTGAACCAACAGTTTATATAACGCAACACCAATCTAAGACGGAGAGAGCCAGTTACAGTTTCTTTCAGCATGCCAAATGTGCAGATAACACACCTAAACACAGGAGTAAATGATAATGCTCTCTTTGCAGGCACAGTCAGTAGTCGGCGTCTTCTTCCTCGTCTTCTAGCACCATATCAAGATCATCATCTGCATCATCGTCATCGTCCTCTTCCTCCTCGTCGTCTTCTTCCATGTCATAGTCTGTTTGAGCACCCAATACTAGTTTGGTCTGGTTGATCTCGGTCTCATCATCCAGGTTGACTTCCACCTGTGCATAAACAAATATAAATGCAATAAGAAAAAGACCTGAGAGATATAAAGGTCCTCATATTTAAAATAATAGTTCACCTACACTGCCATTCAAAAGTTAGGGGTCAGTAAAACATTTTTTGTGTGTTTCTAAAATAAGTATTAATTTACAGTAAAAACAGGTATATTATGAAATATTATTACCATTTAAAATAAATGTTTTCTGTTTTAATATATTACATTTATTCCTGTGATGCAAAGCTGAATTTTCAGCATCATTACTCCAGTCTTCAGTGTCACATGATCCTTCAGAAATCATTCTAATGTGCTGATTTTGTGCTTAAAAAACACATCTTATTTTTATAAATTCAAAAGAATAGTATTTATTTAGAACAGAAATGTTTTCTAACATTATAGATGTCTACTTTTGATCAATTTATGCATTATGATTTGACGCTTCCCTTACGGACCTTTGCAGTATAAATCATAATTCAGTTTCGTTGTGTAAAAAAAAGACCAATGGTCATAATAAAAAATTAATACCTTAAAACAACATTGATATAAATTATTTAACAAAAAAATTTTATTCACTATAATTTACTTTTTATAAAATATTCTTATGTTTGAGAGAACAAAATGTTTTTTTTTTTTTTTATGTCTGAATATGTGGTGTTTATTTACCTCCGGGACAGGGGCTTCATTTGGGCTTTCTTCAGTCTGAGCACTGATCATTGACTTCAGGGTCCCCTCCTCAAACTGATGAACATAAACAAAGACGATCAGTTTTATGGTCAAAGATCACAATTAAATATTTACATACGTTTGTTCTTGCCTTAAGTCTGTTGAGCTGATCTTGCAGCATGACTTTTATTTTCAGAAGAGTCTCCTCTTCCTTCTTGAGCTCCTGAAGGCGACTCAGCATAGTGGACGAGTGTTTCTACAGCATTACTGAACACAAAAACACGAGACAATGTCTTTCGTTGTTCATTACAACAGGGCATGGCCTCAGATTTCAGACACAAACATGCATTGCTCTATCTATATCAACTTCAAATTACAGTTAAACAATGTTGACATTAATTGCAAGATCAAATCATAGATGGAATTGCTTGGTTTGTGAGTACATCATGTTCCTGATCTCCAGTGGTTTACACAGGACACAGTGGTTGATGTTGCTTTTCTCTGGGAATCACACTGTAATTCCATTAGTTATCGAGCAAAAAATATTATTCAGACACTTTAACGGTCATCTTATTAATGCATCTAAATAGTTATTTTATTTAAATTTTCCTATGTAAAACAGTATCCGACCCATCTTAGAATAATGTACCGTGTACAGTCAGCTCATTTAGCAAGAATGCTAGCGGAAATAAATACAGTTACAAGCAATTTATTTCTTTAAGTCTTACTCGGTTTTTAGCCTCATAAACAAAACGACATGACTTACTTTATTGGTTCAACACGCTCGGTGGAACATGCATGATTTAGATTAAACTGTTTATTTATTTTCTTCTCAACTCCACAGTTGTAGCATTCTGAAGAACATGTCACGCGCACTTTCAGCACGCATGCGCATAAAGCACGTGAAACTTTACTGTCTATGACCAGAATCATTTTGTTTTAGCTTCTCATTTATGTAATATATATATATATATATATATATATATATATATATATATATATATATACACACAACATATAAATATATATATTATATAATATGGATAAAAACATAATGTCGGATTATAATTTAGATTATAATAACATTCTAGATTATATTTTTAAATAAATGTATTTATTTATTATCAATTAATTTAATTAATTTATTTTAAAATATTTCCCTATTATTTTAATATTATTTAATATTTATATATTTTAATATTCTTATTTTATATGTTGATAATAGTTTATATTGTTTAGCTAATAAAACGGCAAATATGGCCTACATAAAAATGTAGGTATATTTTGTAGGCTTCAGAAAAATTCTACTGTTCTTCAAATAAAATGTATTTTTCTTCTCCTTTTATTATTATTATTATTATTATTATTATTATAAACCTGTCAATTAAAACTGTTCAACTTTCAGGCTTTCTCAAGCCAACATCAAAAGTTCGTTTACAAATTTTACTCATCTATTTAGAATTATTATAACCTTTTTATATTTAGTAAAACTTTTATATTGGCCTGTATTTCATTTTTATTTGTTTAATATTGTAGATTTTTTTTAAAATAACTTTAATAGGCTATATTTTAAATTCGTTTACAATGGTTTATATTTATCTTTTTAAATACACCTTATACTTTACTGATAATAATCAGCATACCACACAGCATATTATGCATATTATGCCACTCTGCAAGCAGCCCATTAGTGACGCCATGTGGTCAGTTTGAGGACAGGCGTAATAATACCATATAAAAATAGACATTTTTGGAGACACATCAAAGTCTAAGTAATATTAAACAGTATTCACGAAATTCATATTTATTCATTTTATGTATAGATAGATAACCTATATCTATATAGATAGCTATAAACAGAGAGCATACGGTATACATTTCCATCTGTCCCCCTGTGTCCTCACCTGCAGATGGAGATGTTTGAACTGGCAGGTGTCAACTTTACAGCACCAGGAAGCCTAATGCATTGCAAATGTAATGCATGTTTCAATGCCAGCACGCAAAACACGCACCTTGCTTTTTAGATGATTTGCACCACATTAAACATCTAAGCTGATATTATCCAATCATTGTCTGCATTTGTCTTTAGAGTGATACCATTAGAGGGCATTGTTCTTTTATTCAACTGCCTGATCTAATAAAACCTTCAGTGTCAGCTTGAAAGCA